CAGGTTTCATCCCAGGGAGGAAAATTGGAGATAATATAATCCTAGCTCATGAACTGGTAAAGGCATATACTAGGAAGAATGTTTCTCCAAGAAGTATGCTAAAAATTGATCTGCAAAAAGCTTATGATTCAGTAGAATGGCCATACTTGGAACAGGTGATGGAGGGTCTGGGATTTCCTGAACTATTCATTCATTGGGTAATGCAGTGTGTTAAAACAGTGAACTATACAATTGTGGTGAATGGTCAGAACACTCAAAGGTTTGATGCAGCTAAAGGACTCAGACAAGGAGATCCAATGTCACCATTCCTATTTACTATAGCTATGGAGTACTTTAGTAGATTGCTCAAAGGCCTCAAAGAAGACACGAATTTCAAATATCATCCAAAGTGTGCTAAGCTGGATATAACTCACTTGTGTTTTGCAGATGATCTTCTGTTATTCTCTAGAGGTGATCTTAAGTCTATAAAGGCAATACAAACATGTTTCTCAGAGTTCTCTCAAGCCTTAGGTCTGCAAGCAAATCTCAACAAGAGCTCAATTTATTGTGGAGGAATTTAGAGGGAGGTGAGACAACAAATTGTTCAAGAACTTGGTTACATAATGGAAGAGCTGCCATTCAAATATCTGGGGGTTCCTTTGTCATCAAAGAAACTAACTACACTCCAATGGTATCCACTTATAGAAAAAATCATGACAAGAATCAACTCTTGGGCAGCAAAAAAGTTATCTTATGCAGGAAGAGCTCAATTGGTTAAGACAGTATTGTTTGGAGTGCAGGCTTACTGGGCACAGTTGTTTATAATTCCAGCAAAGATAATCAAGATGATTGAAGGCTTATGCAGAAGCTACCTATGGTCAGAGGTGAGCCATGTAACAAAGAAGGCCTTAGTTGCTTGGGACAAAGTGTGCTGTCCTAAGTATGAAGGTGGATTAGGATTGCTTAATATAAAAATATGGAATAGGGCAGCAATAACTAAGTTATGTTGGGACCTAGAAAACAAAGCTGATAAGCTGTGGATTAAATGGATACATGCCTACTATATAAAAGGACAGAGAGAATGGAGGATGAGTAACAATGCAAGCTGGATGGTAAAGAAAATAATGAATGCAAAGATCCTAGTTGATCCAGTCCAACAACTATCAAGCAGAGGGAGAGGAGTACTCAGGCAAATCTATTATCACTTAAAAGAAAGGAAGCAAAGACCAGACTGGACATGTCTTATGTACAGGAATGCAGCAAGACCAAAAGCATATATCATAATGTAGATTATGATGCATCAAAAGCTGTCAACTGTTGATAAAGTAATGCAATGGGGATTTGAAGCAAAGAAAGAGTGTGTTCTATGAAAGAATGCTGAAGAGTCTGAAGAGCACTTGTTCCTACAATGCCAATATGCAAGGAAGGCGTGGAAAGAAATCCAGGATAGTATAGATCATCAAAGCTCTATTCCTTTAGTGTGGGAACAATTCCAGAACTGGTGTATTCAGAATGCGAAAGGAAGAAGAGCTACAGCTCAGAGGTTCAAGACTGTGCTGACAGAAGGAGTTTATGGGCTATGGATAGAGAGAAACAGAAGAATTTTTGAAAACAAGAGCAAAAAGGAAGAGAATATAGCAAAACAAATTGTTGGTGTAACTATAGCTAGGATTTCCTTTACAAATTTAAAGATGTAATGCTGTTATGAGGCCTAGATATAGTGTAGGAGGAAAGTATTTAGTTTCTGAAGTTGTAAGCAACTGTGGTAGCTGCTTTGTTTTGTAATGTTTGTTCTGGTAATTAATAAAGCTAGTTACCAAAAAAATAAAAAATAATAGTAATAATAATAATAATAATAATAATAACAATAATAATAATAATAATGAAAATAATAATAATAATAATTATAATAATATTAATAATTAATAATAATAATAATAATAATTATAATAATAATAATAATAATAATACTAGTAATAATAATAATAATAATAA